TTTAGAAATTGTATCTCCAAAAGTAAGGCTCCATGTAATTTCCACTTGATTGATCTGTTTAAATTATTAAATACCAAAATTTGAAATTTCAAAGACTATAAACAAAGGGCAATGCTACATGTACATAATTTTTTACCTACACTCACAATAGGGTGTGTGGACCATATTTTTTGAAAGTTTTTATTCACGCGGGTCCCACACACATGTGAGAAGGTGTAACATTTTCTGTAAGGACAATTCGATACAAATAGTTTTCTGGTTAATTGGTACAAAATGTCCCTACCTTTGACATGTATTGTGGAAAGGGTAATGCTAGGAGTACGGGAAGGCATTCACAGGACACTTAACAGGATTTTGAAATATGATGATGTGGCTTTTTTTTTAAAGGGAAAACGTATCTAAATCCCCAAACCACAATGCTATTGAAATTCCCTTCCCCACAACAACTGAGAGTTCAAGCCTTCAAATCATCTCACTTGTTCTCCGACCAAACTCTCGGCGGCCGGAAAAAAGGTTTCACGTCTCACTTATTCTCCGACTAACCTCTCGACGGCCCAAAAAAAAAGGTTTCACCAACCAACATCTCGAGTTCCCTCCACCATAACCGAGACCTAAATCCTTCACAACCGTCCACCTCCGACGAACCTACTGGCGCTGCATACGTGTAGACTTACTCCTCTGTGCATAGTTGTAGCCAAGTTTTAATACTTGAAAAAATTGCAGTCCGTCCTTCATTTCTATCAGATATGGAGTCCGTCCTTTATTTGGTTGTTTGAACAAGACAAAAATGTTAAGCACAACCATAAAAGGAGCAAAATTCAAGCACAACCCACTTCAATTGCCCGTCTGGTACGCATATGAAAGCAAGCCATTCATCCTTTAATCCACCCAAATTCCCTCTTTCAAACCAGTATATAACATAGGCATACAAAGCAATCTCCAGCATTTCATGTCAAATACAAACAAACAAAACACTCTGTTTCCTTAATTTCCAACACTTAAATAGAAATTCGATTACTTCAACTCATTAAATTAATTCAGAAATTAAAAATTAAAAAACACTTGTGAATCGCGATGCAATGTTTCGGTAAAGTCGAAAAAAAATGCTCTTCACCGTGTTCTTCAGTGGTGATTTGTCCTCGACTCTTTGAAGACAGATTTTATGGTTAAAAGAGTCTGAAGCTCATCGGAGGCTGCAAAAGAGAGGACATAAAAGAGGGAGAGGAAGTGAAAATTTCTCCAGAAATTGGTCGTCGGCGACATATCGGAGTTCAGAGCCGGGATGAAGAACAACAACCACGAAAAATGAAGGTTTTGAAATGGCTGAAAATGGAGGCGTGAAATTGTTTGGAGAAAGATACGTTTTCCCTG